AAGGACTAAATCAAGCAAAACTTTGTTTGTCCGATCAACCGTTTAGTTTGAATAGTCGTCAACGAGTCGGAGAGTTTCCATTATAACAAGGAATTTTATCAGAATTCGGCTTTATGGTGCGTTCCAGGAAATCAGCGGAACTCCGGATCGGAGTTAGCCAAATGCAATCCGCACTAAATGGGATTTATCGATCGATCGAAACTAGTTCGGTATCGGTAAACCAAAACTATGCAGTAAGTCATACAATACCTAGTCGGTGTTAAATGGAAAGGGCTTCCCTCGCTTGTTATACCGATAAGATTTGCGGTGTCGCGTTTCAATCAAAACACCACTGATTGGCTGTTTAATGTTTTTATTTGTTGGCGGCAACTTGTGAGACTTTTTCTTTATAGGGTTTCAATTTTCAATCTTATAAAATATCAAAAAGTTCATAGTTACGTTGGAAGTTCTTTTATTTTGGTAAGTGAAATTCGTTGAAATTACTAAAAAGCGACCATTTCCTCTTGTCATATAAGTAATACATTTATAACGAGACACTACCGAGGGTTCTATTAAGATTTACTGCGAACTTTGTATTCTGGCCCTGCAAGGGCGGCGAAATATTTCAGCCTAATGGAATTTTCTAAAAGAGTGGAATTCACATCAGTGGCGGATACAGAGGGTGGGCAGGGAGGGCAATTTTTAAAATAATCAAATATAGATCGGGGCATTGTGCTCTTCAAGAATATAGAATGAAATATAGGGCATCCCATTTGAAAAAAGCTGGAAGCATGCAAAATTTCACATTTCTGACATTCAAATTTTATTTCTGAGCATGGTTTCTAAAAATTCAGCCAAAATTGTATAACCTTTGTATTTACACCTTCTACCTGTGAAGATAAAGGCTGTAGGTGGGGTGTCAATACATAAAAAAAAACACCCTGTACAAATAAGTGGTTTATTGCGGAATTTATGGGTGGACCTCTGCGGGACAAGCGCAGCGAGTACCGCAGCTAAAAACTCACCAATATACTGTTGAACTGTTCAAATAAGACATTCACCTGAAACGTGTAGGTTTTGAACTAATGAGAAAAATTCTCAACTGAGGGAATCAGGTTAGTATTGTACTTGAATAACATATTGGTGAATAGATAGCTGAGTCCACCCATAGGTTCCGCAACAATCCGCTCGTTTGTACTTGAATAACTTATCACAATATATTACTAGTTTGGTAAAGTAACATTACTAATTCCTGTTGAAAGGCAAATTGACAAAAAGTGGATAATCTTACAAATTTTGACTTTATATAATAAGTTATTGTTCAAGTACAAATTAGTGGATTGTTGCGGAACTTATGGGTGAACCTCTGCGGGACGAGCGCAGCGAGTTCCGCAGCCATCTACTCACCAATATACTATTGAACTGTTCAAGTAAGACATTCATTTGAAACGTGTAATTTTTAAATTAATGAGAATAACGCACATTTGAGTGAGTTAGTATCGTAATTAAACAACATATTGATGAAAAGATGGCTGCGGAACTCGCTGCGCTCGTCCTGCAGAGGTCCACTCATAAGTTTTGCAACAATCTACACGTTTTTACTGGAATAACTTGTCACATTATGTTACTAATTTGGTAAAGTAACATTACTAATTCCTGTTGAAAGGCAAATTGACAAAAAGTGGATAATCTTACAAATTCTGACTTTATATAATAAGTTATTGTTCAAGTACAAATAAGAGGATTGTTGCGGAACTTATGGATGGACCTCTGCGGAACTCGCTGCGCTCGTCCCGCAGCCATCTAATCACCAAAATATTGTTGAATTGTTCAAGTAAGACATTCACCTGCAACGTGTAATTTTTAAACTAATGAGAATAACGCACATTTGAGTGAGCTAGTATCGTAATTAAACAACATATTGACGAATAGATGGCTGCGGAACTCGCTGCGCTCGTCCCGCAGAGGTCCACTCATAAGTTCCGCAACAATCCACACGTTTGTACTTGAATAACTTGTCACATTATGTTACTAGTTTGGTGAAGTAACATTACTAATTCCTGTTGAAAGACAAATTCTAACTTTATATAATAAGTTATTGTTAAAGTACAGGGTGTTTTTTTTATATATTGACACCCTACCTACAGCCTTCACCTTTAGAAGTAGATGAAAGGTGTGAATACAAAGGTTGTACAGTATTGGCTAAATTTTTAGAATCCATGGTCAGAAACAAAGATTGAATGTCAGAAATGTGAAATGTTGGACGCTTTCAGCTTTTTTCAAATGGTGTTTAATCAACATAAAATTTGAATTACACATTTCGAAATTTCAACATATAATTTAATTAAGTCTGAAATTTCTTCATATTATAAAATCCACAATTTGTTATAAATTTGGCAAGGTAATCAAAGTATCACAAACCTTGCCCAAATTTACTAAAAAACCACGATTCATCATTCACGGCGTCAGTCACCTTAATTTCCGTAATGATACAGTGTAGCGCCAATGTTTTAGATACCTGCCTAAACAAGGTCAACACACAGTTCATTGTTATTAGTTATGATAAATATAATAAGGTTCAAGTTGAAATGTACAATATAAATAGGAACCAATTTGATTAATAAAACGAGTATTGAACAATATTAGTTGGGTACTCATTTAATTACGCAAATTAGTCATTTGTGATAATTATCCACAAAGTCCATCTCAAGAGCTTTGTACTCGTTATCTTGGTTAAAGGTAACTAGAGATCTTCAAGGAATTATTCCTGAACGTCACGCCCAGAGATACGGACCTTGGAGGCCTTACAACCCTCTAGTGAACTACAACAAAGGTCCCAACTCTGTTCAAATGGGATGCCCTATATTTGGTTCTATATTCTTGAAGAGCACAATTTCCCGATTCCAAAACTATATAGTTTGTATATATTTGGTTGAGCTGTCTCCGACATATTTGGTTCGAGAAAATTTAAAAAAACTAGCAGAGAAACCAAGTACATACCTTAAATTTTACCTTCAGCTTTCGCCGGTATAGGTAGAATGGTTCACAAAATCAGTAGTAGGAAGTATTTTTACAATTTTTGGAGCCGAATATATGAGAGACTGTTCAATCAAATATAGACAAATTATATATTTTTGGAATCGGGGCATTGTGCTCTTCAAGAATATAGAATGAAATATAGGGCATCCCATTTGAAAAAAGCTGGAAGCATGCAAAATTTCACATTCCTGACATTCAATTTTTGTTTCTGACCATGGTTTCTAAATATCAGCCAGAACTGTACAACTTTTGTATTTACACTTTTCTTTCACCTGTAAAGGTGAAGTCTGTAGGTGGGGTGTCAATATACAGGGTGTCCCAGCTAAAACGAAACAGAGGAGTTTTTTGCATATTTAGAATTATTCAAATGAAAAACACTCGAACACGTCGATTTTTGCATGAAAGGGGACAACTTTCAAATTTATCTTTAATGAACTATCTGTCATCCCTTAGCGGGGGCGCGTTCAACCCCTAAAAATTAAATAGGCAAAGTGGGTCGACTGACCCCTTAAATGAAAGCTCTTTAAATTATCTTTTCAACGGTACTACATTTATTGACATTTATGTCAAAAAATTTGACAATGACGCGTCCCACCCAAAACGAAACAAGGCAATTTAAAGGCATTTCTCGTTTTAAAAGCAAAAAAACGGTTAATACGTGAAATTTGTGTTCGACTAGAAATTAATCTGCGAATATTTTTCAACCCCTAAGTTGAAATCCCACGCGAAGGTGACATCCACCCTTAAAGTCTCAAATGGAATGAGGGGATGAAAGGCACTTTATTTGTAAGCTTATTACTGCTTCTTTTCAACGCTGTCTCATTTCAGGAATATCTTTGAAATTTTCGTGGAAAATTATGAAAAAATAAAACTTCTCTAAAAATAGTATATTAAAGTATAAGTGGATATTAAGATCTTTGAAACACGCGCGATTTTTCGCTCGAAATAGAGCAAGTGTTTTAAAGACCAGTTATCCACGAATACTTGACACTATTTTTATTTATTGGTATACGTTCAAATCCTAAATTACTAATAATTGTACATAGAACGCTAAATTCGTGCTTGTTATATTTTATTTGACGTTATCTATAAGTACCTACTCCTGACAAATCGATAATTAAAAAGTTGACATTTAGACTTTACCTTACTTGGGTTGTTGATGTTGTCATGGGTAACTTTAAAACACGCGCGTTTTTGAATGTTGAATTTAAACACGCTGAGGAGTACTTTAAATAAGTAAAATAGGTCATCAATAAAAAAAAATTCTATTAAAGACCCCTAATAAACAAAATAACATCGAAGATAACAGAAAAAATGTAAACAAGTTTTACTAATGTGGAGCTTTATTGTTACTAAATTAATACTCTAGAGCAACTAATTTACTAAATGTTCAAACTGAGCACCGTCTGCAGCCATGCAAGAATACAGGTTCTGTTCAAAGCGATCTCGAACATTTTGTAATATTTCAGGTGTTATCAGCGCGCACTCATCTACAATTCGTTGACGTAATACTTCTAGTGTCTCCGGTTGAGTGGCATACATTTTTGTTTTCAGATGCCCCCATAAAAAAAGGGTGATCTAGCTGGCCATTCAAGAAAGGGTCCTCTCCTTCCAATCCAGCGACCGGGAAATATCTCATCAAGATAATGCCGTACCAGTGCAGCATAATGCGGAGGAGCTCCATCTTGTTGACTTGATTTTCGTCATAGTGATTTCCATTCTCGATTATCTCTGTTATTCTAGGATTTATGGCGTCTTCCAAAAGAGTCTGATACATTTCTCTATCTAAATTTCCATTTAGAAAAAACGGACCAACAAGGGAGTCGCCAAAGATTCCAGCTCCCACATTTAATTTTTCAGGGTACTGAGTATGAACCTCACGCAAGTGTTTAGGATTTTCATCAGCCCAGTAGCGACAATTGTGAGGAAAAATGTACACTCATCCAAAAAGAAAATGTTGTAAAGAAGAAGAGGATAGTTCTTCACAGAATTTGTATTCGTCTATCGTAATCATCTTCGTTTAATTCTTGCGCCAGGTGAAGTTTGTAATGATAAAATTTGTGTAACTTTAAAATTCTGTGAACACTACTTTTACTTAGTCCTGTGCCTGCTGCCAATTGTCTGACACTCATTCCTGGTCTGGCATGGAGTTGACCCAGAACTGCTACTTGCATAACTTCATTGTTAACTACAGCAGGTCGGACATTCTTCTTTCCAAGAACACTTTCAGTTTCTCTAAATTTTGCTACTAATTCTAGTTCGTACCTACTTCCCATTGACATGTTTATCTGGATGATGAACATTAAATAACTCTGCTGTTCTATTGGCACATGAGTTTTGTCCAAAAAACAATTCAATTATTTCAACCTTCTCGGCAGTAGAATAAACCATTGCTGATATTTGATGTTACTGTAAATAAAAGGCCCTACATTGAATACGATTAAAATAAATCTACTTGAAGAGATTTATTGAAAGGCATCTACTGTCCATGCAGTAAACAGATAAAAAAATTCCCATATTAGTAAAAACTTGTTTACATTTTTTCTGTTATCTTCGATGTTATTTTGTTTATTAGAGGTCTTTATTAGAATTTTTTTTAGAGAAGTTTTATTTTTTCATAATTTTCCACGAAAATTTCAAAGATATTCCTGAAATGAGACAGCGTTGAAAAGAAGCAGTAATAAGCTTACAAATAAGGTGCCTTTCATCCCCTCATTCCATTTGAGACTTTAAGGGTGGATGTCACCTTCGCGTGGGATTTCAACTTAGGGGTTGAAAAATATTCGCAGATTAATTTCTAGTCGAACACAAATTTCACGTATTAACCGTTTTTTTGCTTTTAAAACGAGAAATGCCTTTAAATTGCCTTGTTTCGTTTTGGGTGGGACGCGTCATTGTCAAATTTTTTGACATAAATGTCAATAAATATAGTACCGTTGAAGAGAGAATTTAAAGGGCTTTCATTTAAGGGGTCAGTCGACCCACTTTCCCTATTTAATTTTTAGGCGTTGAACGCGCCCCCGCTAAGGGATGACATATAGATCAATAAAGATGAATTTGAAAGTTGTCTCCTTTCATGCAAAAATCGACGTGTCCGAGTATTTTTCATTTAAATAATTCTAAATATGCAAAAACTCCTCTGTTTCGTTTTAGCTGGGACACCCTGTATAAAAAAACAACCTGTACCTACCTATTAAAAACCACCCTATTCTCCTAAATAGTTCCCCCCATTCCCATATTTTTATGGGCCATTCCTTCGAAAAACCGTAACTTGCACAATGCGGTGCCAAAAATAACCCAAACTAACCCAATCTTGGCTTACTTTAACTTAAACTGCCCCCCCTTTCAAAACGCCTATATCCGCCCTTGATTCACATTTGACGGTAGATAAAAGGTAGAATTTAAATTCCTATTTATATTTAAAGCTTGGACAGAATGCAGTCAGTTCTTTTTTTTGCACAGCTAAATTGAATTGCGGCTTAAATTTTAATTAAAATGAATATATTTTATCCTCCCAGGAAAAAAATCTGCTTAGTAAAAATGTCTCCTGCAACACACGCAAAAATCAAATATTTGCTTTGCATTTCGTCCAGCCAGGAAGCACCCTAGGTACATCGGGACACCAGAAATGAGATTTTTCCCTGCTGCGGTCGACATCTTGTCACTTTTACTGGACAATGTCGTCGTCTCTTGAGGCAGCTCTTTTATAAAGATAACTCGATTTATACGATCGGAAATTAAAAGGATAACTTTGATGTCTTCTCAACTTTGAAAAATCACCTTTCAAGTGTAAGTAAAAATGTCTTTTTTATATTATCAATATCCTTTTAATAAAGAGGTCGATTAGTGGAGTGTTTTCTTCTATAAGCTTTTCCGATTATCAGGAAATCAATTAAACAACGTTTTCCCCTGCTCTATAGGATGTAATTTCTCCATTAAAGACGCTTTTTTTCATTACTTAATTGGTATATACTTTTAATTAAATAAATGGAACACAGAATTGGAGTTTCAATGTTATGAAACTCTTGTCCTAAATTTAGCTGTAAAAAAGCTGATCAATAAAATCATCTGTTGAAACCTATATAAGCATTTTTCTAGCTATTTTGACAGCGCCGGCACGAACTACTCAAATTGCTTCCATTTGGCAAAATTCCATTCTTCTCATGTCTGCTATTTATCGACTTTATTTCCCAGTTTGTTGCCAAAAATAGCAATAATTTACCATTCAAATATTAACACGATTAACACTTAAATAATATATTAATTTTTAAAAAATCTATAGTCGGATAAACTCCTATTTACTCTACTAATGATTTCGCTTGTGTATTTTCCATTTTATTATGTATCGAAATCCAGTTTCGTCATTTATTTGTTCAGCGATACGTTCAATTTTCATCATGTTTATTTGTTTAAAGTGTTTCAAATATTATGAATGAATTTTTTAAAGTGGCGTTTTGCTATTTAATCAAATAACTGAAAAAATTGGAGCATTGTTTAAAATTAATAAAACCTTGTTGTGTTTCATTTACGAAATTAACTTCAAAAGTATTTCCAATAAAGGACCAACTCGAGTTACCCACAAAAGCATTCAAAGAATTTTTATTTGAAAGCGGACATTTCGGATCGATCTCCGATAATAGAGGCGATGATAGTCATTAAGAGTGGTCTCCCACATTTTAATTTAATTACATCCAGGGTCGGTAATTTACTGTGGGTTATTTTTGGCTTTATTCTAATTAATTAGGAATCAACGGTATTGTAGGTTACGGCACTTTAATCTATATTTGAGCAAATATTGACCAAGGAAAAGTTGAAAGTATTATTCAACTGCTCCAATATTTACCATTGTTGTTGGCATACTTTTATTGGTTGATGATGATTATTTTTATTCCGAATTTGAGGATGGAATAGATGTACAAAAGGAAATATATTAATTAATAGAAAACATTGCAAAGTTGACTGAATTTACACCACTGAAAAATTCTCATCAAACATTTAAAATGCAATTCCAAAAAACCCTTTTTTCGATGAATCGCAATTATTAGTTTTAACCCCCTTAAACCACCCTCAAAATAATTTGCAAGTCAAGTGATGTATTTTGGTACTGCCTTTAATTTCCAGTACTGTTTGTGCCCAAGACTAGGGTAGAAATGTTCATATTTTCACAAAAACGGTTTTTTCGATGAATCACAATTATTAGTTGAACCACCTCCAAAGTAATTTGCAAGTTAAGTGAGGTTCCCCAAACGACCCATAATTTTTTTTCTATTATAGATAGAAAGTTGAAATTTTCAGCGATTCTTATCCCAGTAGAAGACTACAATCCCTGAAAATTTCAGTCATTTGGACTTGAGGTTCCAGAAATAAAATCGCATAAGCAATTTGGGATAAATTTACTGATTTTTCAATTTTCTGAGTGCCTTTTTTCATAGATTTCGGCTTCAAATCTCAGAATAATTTAGTGCATGGAGTTTGGGGTATGTTGATTGACCATTAGGATACAAAATCTCAACATAAAAAAATTTAAAATTTCATCATTTTAGTAGATAGGTATGTGATAGTGATCACTAATTAGATTGATGTTAATGGAAATTTCCAAAGCTTACCTTGTTACACAGTATTACACTCAAACTGTTTATTAGCAAGCAAATAATTAATTCACCAAAAATAATGTATATAAGTATTTACATCCCACCAAAAGTAATCATACACTGTTTATTTTAAGCTCTTTTGAAAATAAACATCTACCTATACAAAGACTTTTTTGTAATTTTTTATGTATTTCTCGATGTATTTATTATTTACAGGGTGTCACACTAAACTTACTCAGCCCCATATAGGGAGGTTTAGTACGATAAATTGAGAGACTTTTGTAAATATATTAATTTGTATGTGTGTATTAAAGGTTATGTATGTTCCCCTTGAACTTGGAATTTTATTATTGACATCCAACGAACAGATGTGATAAATTTTGTAACATGTTGTTTATACAGACTGAACAAGTTCATTAGATAGGTACATAGTTTTCAATGGGAGCATTTGACTTATACCCATTTAATTGTAGGATCATCACTTGTGCATCTTGGGCAGCCCGGCTATACTCGGCTTGTGTCTAGTAGTGCATGCTTTTCTCATATTAAATTTCTATCCATGTAAAGTTCCAAATATTTTATTGAAAATTTGGTTTATTTGCCTGAAGCCAATTTTGCTACATTTTCCAATCATTTAATTTTATATTGTGTTACAAATAATACTCGTTATTTGAACTTTAAGATAAGAGAACCTATAGGGTCATGGAATTCAAAAAAATTAAGATGTTATGTGCAAATGAAACCGCTCAAAATCTAACAAACAATAATTTTGAGTAGGTACCCAGAAAAGAAAAAGGCAGTATCAGACTCGTCAAGATTTGGAATATTAAATCCCTGAATTCTATCAAAAAGAAAGTGTCTTGCAAAGAAAATTATAATCATTAAAATAGATAACAACAGCAAGATTAAATTAAAATGCTCGTTACAAGTTGAGCGAGCAGAGTGCTGCTTTTCTGGCAGTAGCAATAACAGGCAAGAATAAGAAAAAAATCAGATAGAAAAAGTAAGAAATTAAATCTCTAGATTCTCCCCCAAATAGACAAAATTTTCCATTTAAGTTAAGGTAGCCACCACAGGCACTACAAGATAAGCCTGAGGGTGAAATCAATCAAATCCAGAATATGTCAAAATTCTTGGAATGTTTTAATTAAAACTTTTTAAATGAATTTTTTTGACCTATCTGGATTTCTATTTTAGACAATTACACCCTTTTTCAACACTCTTCTCTTCGAGAAGATAATAAATTAATGGAGTCAAACAGAAAATGGCTATACAGGCCTCTGCCTGGATTCAATAAAGAGTTGATAGGGATGGACACACAAATTTGGTTTTTACCGACTCTATTTAGAGCAAATGGTCCAATAGATATTCCCACACTAACAATTAATTCTGAAAACCAGAGCAGCAGTACCTATTTACTAGCCCAAAAATCTGAATTGACTTACCTCAGAAAAACGTGGAACCACCAATCACATAAAATGGAGGCCCACAATTAGATAATAGTTATTTATGTACCAAGGCAGTAAAGTGATAATTTATCGAACGAGTCTGAGATTATGAGTCGAACGAGGCGAGTAAAAGGGCGAGTTCGATAAAGACACTTTACTGACATGGTGCATACAAAGATATTATAACTCAACACAATTTATTATAAGAGCAAACACAGAACACATCTACTTATTGTTTGTTAT